GAGTTTTAAATAAGTATTTATTACTGATATCCTAACCAGGCTCACTGGTGCTTTATCTTGTGAGGGATCTGATAATAGTTCCTCAAATAATTTTGGGTCCACTTTTATTGAAACTTTTATAATATAGTTTAGTTTCACCTTCTAAAAATAAACTTATTTTTCAGAAGCAAAACCTTTATTTAAGCCCCATTTTTTTTTTTTTTTAACCTCTGAGAATTAGAAGTATGGCCTTAGTAAATGCCTATACAAGACATGTGGCATAGTAAGTATAATCAACTCTGGAGCCAGACTACCTGGGTTTAAATGTGACTTTAGACAAGGTGCCTGTTTTCTCATCAGTAAATAGTAAAATGAGAATAATAATAATAATAACTACTTCACAGGACTGTTTGAGAATTAAATGAGTTATTATTTATACAGCACTTAAAACAGTGTGTGACACATATCAAGAATTATATATACTGTATATGTTTGTTAAATAAAATAAAAATATGAGTTACTACTTATATATTTTGTTTTATAAAGGATTTTCTGCACATTGCTCACTACCTAGACAATCTTGTGGCTAGTTTTATTCCCTGCTATCTTTCCACAGAGAACAAGGTATCAAATAAGTTTTTATTATCAATGAATATTGACTTGACTATTAAATTCTAACCCGGCCGGCCACACAGAAACAAAAGCATCAAATTAAAAAAACTCTGCTGTTAAAAACAAACAGATGTATAAAAGCATGCATGATAAACACCTTGAATGTAGTTGATTACCTTCAGTTTGCTGGAGGTTAAAGGGCTAGAATAAGGAAAGGGTACACAGAGGGCTTCAATTCTATGTGAAACCAATCATTTCTTGGTGGGGACGGGGAACTTAAAGCATATATGGCAAAATAATATCTGAAAATCTGGGTGTGGTTACATTTATTCTCTATGCTATTCTTTATGCTTGATATATTTTATATAGATTTTTAATTAAGGAGACTTTTACTTGCCTTTATACCCCTAAAAGAACAATAATAACAACTAGAAATAACACTCCTAGCTTCGTAAAGTTATCATCATTGGTAGTCTCTAAATCTCTATGTTCACAGCCTCTAACAAGCTCATTAAAATGTCTTACTCTGAGAACACTGAAATGTCACTTACTCACCCCTCCCTGGATTCTTTCCTGCCTTATTCAGTGGTATGCTGCTTACCCATTGGGTTTACACTTTGTCAAGGCCCAGTTCCTCTGGAGTGGAGATTCCCAGTTCATTTAAAGTGGGTCTAAGTTCCTGGATGACATAAGGGTAGATTTCCTTATGAGGTCCTGCTTTGTCCTGATGGTAAAGAAAATATTCACATTTAGCTCTCTGAGATGCTGTCTCTTTTACAAAATAAACTTGAAAATGCAGAAGACAGTAGCAGAGAATACAAGTCACCTACTTTTAAGTCAACATATTTGTTTAATAGAGAGCAACAATGTGGGCATTATTCAAGGTGAATTTTTAAGACACTTTGAGACTAAGACAATTAGACTAGACCCAGAAAAAAAAAATTTAAAGCTTGAGTTACTGGAAAAGAAGGTGGTGATGACAGAATTCTATGAAGGTAATTAAACATGCTCAGCAGGCAACAGGAATAATTAAGTTAACACAGGAAAAGTTTTTAAATTTGTCTCCAATTTGAGACCCTAACTGAATTAACTACTGGTGCTGAATGAATTGATAGCCTACAGAACCCTTAATTATCTTACCCACTGTAGATAAAGTAATGCCACAATTTCCCTCTTATAACCTTGAACCACGAATTTCTTTTTTATAGACCACGTCTTTTCTTGGAAAGCTACACTTAGAGAATACTTATTTCCAGGGCAAGCGAGTTTTGACTTTCACTATTAACATATAATTATACCTATATATTGTCACGAAGGTGCCTAGGGACAAATATTAAAAAGTCAGATGAACTAAGACACTGCCAGGCTGCTAAATCTTCTGCCTTTAACAAATTCTAGGTCTCCTTAGCTGTATTTAATTATACAATCTTGTTTAAAATGCTCATTACATTTATTTGCTCATTACAGAAAAACCAGACACTATAATCAAACAAGAGGGAGACTATATTTTCCTATATTTTCATCTATATATTTTTAATAAAATTGGGTAATAGCACAAAAATTGTTTCACAATTTTCTTCAGTTAATACACTATAAATGTTTAATATATATATGTTTAAATGGTAAACACATTTCTACAACATTAAGAGATATATAATAATAACCTCTTCTGGAAGTCTCATCTTAAGAAACCACTTATAACATTTACATCTAATTTCATATCACAAACAGAACAAAGATTAATTGTAGTTAAATAGCCTTAATTATTTCCTTAAGATAAATTCTCAAATGGAATTGCTGAACAAAAAGGTATCAAACACAACTTTTAAGGTCCTGGATAAATTCTGCCAAAATGCACTCCAGAAAGATTGTTAACTGCAGTGCTTGCTCTCTCTAGCTATATAAGAACTAATTTTAGGTATTTTAACAAATTCAAAAATACAGAATATGCTGATACCTAATAAAGAGCCCATCCACTTCAAGAACAACTTTAGCATTATTTCACTGACCTTAACAACTTCTAGAATGCGAACAGCACTAGCAAAATCATTTAACCGTCTGCATGCCCGCAAAGCAGCATCAATGATTTTGGGTTCTGGAACCAGATCATAGCCAACAAGTGTGTTCATCCCTGTCAAATTAAAAAGAGGGGTCATATAAACCTGGGATATTCTCACAAACTACAATTTAGTTATCTATATTTTTATTGAAACACAGACATGTGATTTTGTCTTTTTGGGCCTTGAGATATTGTGATTTATAATAAACATATTTGGTCTTTGCCCCTGTTTCTGGCACAGAGGCTCCAAATCCCTTGGAATTTCTTAAGTGATGAGAGCAACAATAACATCTCCTATTGTGTTAAGGAAATAATTTTTGGACCCCACCAAAGAATAGGGGCTGGTTTACCAGTAGGGGCCAAACCTGTGGTTAGAGGATTAAAATTTTCAGTCCCATCCTTGATTTCCAGGGAAGGAGGGACTTCAGGTTGAATTACTAACCAGTGGCCAAGGACTTAGTCGATCACAACTAGATAATGAAGCTTCCATAAAAACCCAAAGGACAATTCCTCAGTCCTTTTTAGGAGAGCTTCCATGCTGGAGTACTAGAATGCTTCCATAAGCCACTGTGCCGGGCCCCAAGCTCTATGAGGACAGAAACCCCTTGGTTTGGGACCTCGCTTTATGTACCTCTTCATCTGGCTGTTGCTTTGAATCCTTTTAAATTCTTTGTAATAAATTGGTAATCTAATGATAAAACAGGTTTCCTTGAGTTCTGCGAGCTGTTCTAACCCAAGGAGGGGGTTGTGGGAATCTCTGATTTGTAGCCAGTAGGTCAGAATCATGGGTAAACAACTTGGGCTTGCAACCAGCTTCTGAAGTGGAGGGTGGTCTTGTGATACTGGGCTCTTTACCTGTGGAATCTGATTCTACTACCTACCGGGTAGGGTAGATAATACCACATTGAGTTGAATTCCTGGACACCCTGCTACTGTCCAGATTTGTTTGTTGGTGTGGGGAAGCCTCCACACATACACTGGAATTGAGTCCTGGAACCCTATCTGGCCTCTATTCTCTCTATAAAACAAGAGAATCTACCTTTAACAAATTCTAGATGATAAGATCATAGTGGATCTTCCACAATGAATTAGTGGAAAGAAAGGATCTATGTAGTAGCCTGCAGATTGGGGGGAAAAAAATTCAAGAGTTTCCTTAAATGCAAACACTATTTTCATAATAATTTGCTGGTTTCTTGTCAAACAAGAGGGTTATTTCCAACTCATATCTTTAACTCTTAGTACAACGTATGTTCTTTGGTTGCTTTAATACAGATTTGATTGGAAAGTAATCTAAAAACTACCAGAGAAATGCTTAAGGGGAGTTAATGATGCCCAAATGAGGGCATTAAGGAGATATAGAGAATGCATAGACTCAAACATTCAACCAGAAAATGATTGGGCATGATTGCATTCAGCCCTGCACCAAATGACACATCATAAAATTTAAGATTCTCTTAATAGGAATGAATGCAGATCGCTGTTCTTTTCATTACCTCTCAAGATTATTTAATAAGAATTTCCCTGGTTGCAGCAAAATGGAGTCATTACATTCCTGCAGAGAAGTTTGAAACACTCAGGTTTCTTGTTTTTATTTTAAAATATTTAAATAAAGACACTAGTGACTATAATGCCAGAATATAGTCATAGAGACTGAACTCTTGGTGTAAGATAAATTGCCTAAACTTTATTTACTAGTCTAACTATTCGATTAGTTATCATTAATACTACTTATTCATGTTAAATGCGCATCTGCAAATTTAGGAAAAACAAGTTAGCTTACTTAGATAGGACAAGATCTGTCAGGGCAAAACAAATCATAACTGAGAATAAAAATAAAAAAAAAATCTAAACTATTACCAAAATGGAAAAAGAACCAAATTGCATAACTTATCTAAAAGATACAAAACTGTTAACTCTTGCTCACCTTGACCTATCATTATAGCAGTGGTTTCAAACAGAGGCATTTTGTCCCCCAGGAAACATATGTGGTTGTTACAATTTGGCAGGGGAGGAAGGTGACACCTAGTGGGTAGAAGCCAGGGATGCTGCTAAACATCCTACAGTGCAAAGGACAACCGTTGCAACAAAGAATTAACTGGCCCAAAATGTCAGTTGTGCCTGCTTTAAAATCCTGCTTTACAGGAAACACTAAGGTAGCTATAAAACTTTCTAACTGCAAGTTGCATGACAGTACCCAATTTACATGATGCATATTTTCAAAATAGTTGCCTTCAACAAAGTACTGGAAGACCACAAAGCAGTTCATAATTCTATTCTATGTTCCAATTACCTTTACGCAATTCCCAGGCATCGATATCTGGCTTGTTGAAGTATGTCACCCAACGAGCATCAAATTCCTCATCTGTCTCATGTGACCCATGGGAGTAGCAGCGAACTGACTGGATAGCTACAATCAAGAAAGAATAATTTTTAAAAGTGATTTTCTAAATTTAAAACATTTCAACTTTTTAAATATAAAAATAAGATTTCCCCATGACTACTCAAGATGTTGAGCATCTTTTCATGTATTTTGTCTATTTCTATGAATTGTTTATTTATATTTTTTTGTCCATTTTTTCCTCTTGGGTCACACATAACTTTTCTTAATTTCAATGTACAGAAGTAATACTTGACATATTCTGTCACTACAATAAGGTTTTTTTCTTTTTTATTGTGTTAAAATATGCATGACATAAAACTTACCATCTTAACCATTTTTAAGTGTATAGTTCAGTGTTATTTAATACATTCAATGCATTAGGTTTTGAATCGACTATATGTCACTGTAGGAAAATTATTCAGCAGGTCAAATAAAACAAATATTATGTATTGATATGAAAAAATATCTTAAAAATTAAGCAAAGAAAAGTAGAACAAAAAGTGCTATAGATGTTATGTTTATGCTTTTTCTCCCTAATGTGCATGCAATGATAGCTTGAAAATCTTAACACTGGTTATCTTTGGAAGGAAAAACTTTGTTTCTTTATACATTTCCACGATGTTTGAGTTTTTACAATAAGCAGAGTATTAACTCCTAATTTAAAATAATGTTCATTCTAGTTCTTAAGAGAATTTATAAGATATATTTTTGATAAATTAAAAAAATCTTATGCTCGCTATTAAATTATATTCCAAAATAAATTACACATCCTGACAAAGCAATGGTAATTTAAAATTTGTTTTATCAAACTACAACCCCTTCCCCACAAATTGATAAACCCTCTAAGGGGGAACATGCCCTCTGACTTACATCCAATAAAAGAAACACTGCTTTATAAGACTACTAAGAAGCTAGACACACTTAGCATTCTGCTCCCAATCAATATACCCTTTGCAGTACCATACAAAAAGCCTTTCCATTTTTAGTTTCTGCCTGTCAAATGGACACTGAATTGGGAGTTAGAAAATCTGGACTCTTTTAAATAGCTTCTGTCTGATCGGAGAGGGGGCAGAAGGAAATTTTACCTTTGGGTTTTAGGAAGCAGCAGAGCCTAGTGGTCAGATACATCTAGGCTCTTCAATCTCCCACTGACCCTGGTAAAATTAACTCGTTTTATTTTCCTTATCTGTAAAACAGGGATACCACCTTACCAGACGATGACAATTAAAAATGAAAGCTAGGTAACACTGACTAGGGCTTAGCACTTTGTAGGCAGGTACTCAATAAATGGTAGCTATAAATTAATCCTTGTCTAAAAATGTCTTAACTGACCTTCTATTTATGGAAATCATATTTTATAGAAATAAAACATTCTTCAAATTTTGCATTTCCTATTAGATGAATTAGACAAGCATGGTATAATTTCTAGTTGTTTTTAAAAGTTTACCCAAAAAAACAAAAACAAAACCAAACTACTCAGAAACCTCTAGGCTCTAAAAATACTCTGAAATTTAAACGTTAGAAATATCCTATGCATCCTTAATGCAATGATAACTGGCAGAAGTACAAAGAAAAAAAGAAAACAGAAAAAGATGAAAAGATGAAATAATGGCCAGTTCTGGAGATGGGCTGTCACTGCTAGATCAAGCAAAGGTGATTCTTACTTAAATTACTGCTTGAGCCTATAGCAAAATACCTGCTAATAGTCACAGAGGGCCAAAGAACAAGTCCCAATCTTACCAGAGACATAAATTATCTCCACAATCTGAGTCCAGAATAAAGTGGGACATTTATATAAATGGGCTAGAACTGGACACTCTTTAATTTCTATGACAAGAAAAAAGAATGGATCTCTAGACTTAAATGTATTTGTTAAGTGCAAACATTTAATCAAAACTACACAATAGTTAATAACTCTTACAGGACTATCATTCACATTTAATATATCAGAAAGCATAGAGGATAACAACCCTCTCACACTGTTACAAAAATTTATAAGCTACCTTTTTCAAAAACGAAAGTTATCCTTAGCTGAATACTTGAAGTCCAAGTGTAAAATAGTACAACCACTTTGAAAGACTGATTAGCAATTTCTTATCAAGTTAAATACACACCTACCATACTACCCAGTAATTTCACTTCTAAATATTTACTCAAGAAAAAGGAAATATATGTATGCCCTACCCAGAGGTAATTATTAAATGTAAATTTCCTACTACCCAGAAAATCATTTCATGATCACCAATTCTTTTGCTCACTTCTGGGCATGTATTTCATTAGATGACTAGTAGCTTTGTTTGTTTTCTGTGAAAAAAGATGACCAGCAACTACAAATCCTAGTCAAGGAGATCAATGGATCACCTTCAATGATTTGTTTACCTTCCTTCTGGAAGTCCCAAATTCGTTGTCTTCAAAAACAAACAAACGAACGAACAAACAAAACTACTTTATATGAAATAACTATTTAGAACATCAAGCATGCACCAGGAACAAAGATCCCTTCCAGGAGGACAAAGACTCTCCCACATGGTTTAAATTATATTCCTAATTCCAGTAATATGAAAAGTAGGATCTATTCTCATAGCTATGGACATGCCCTCCATATGCTTAACATTTTGATTTTTAGGTAAACTAAATGGCATTCTCTCCCTTCCTGACACTGACCAAACTTAAGCATAGCATTTTAACCTAGTTTTGAGGCTTGTAAGGCAAACTATTTTAGAACACAATTGCTCAGTGCTTTCATACAATCTGAAGGTTCCAGAGCAAAAAAAGGGAAGCAATTATGAAAAACGGATATTACTACAGCCTCTAGGACCTAAAAAGCTATTTCTTTTTTTTAAATTTTATTTTATTAGTTGCAAGTATACAGTACATTGGTTAAGACAATTATATAGTTTATAAAACGTAAAAAACTATTTCTAATACCGTTTTTTGGCATTCAGTTAAGCACTCTATTAAAAAAAGCTAACATATTTAGAAAAATTAGGGGGCTCATTAGTCTCTATGGTTTAATTAGATAGTTTTCCATTTAATAACAAATCAGCTAGGACAAAGTCCAAAGAATGGACATTTTGGTGGTGGTGATTCTAAGAGTAAGGGAAAGAAGTAACTAATGAACAAGCTTAAAGGCAGGGTTATGGAGGTGCAAAGCTTAAGAGCAGGCTTGGACCTTAGGGCCCAAAGGCTGGACTCTAGAAATGAGGGAGTGGTGTGGAAAAGGCCGGAAGGTGATAATTCAGCCCTGCACCAGTGTATAGAACATGGAGAATTGAGGACGTTTTGGACTTTACAAAATGGATTCAATGGGAGCCATGACAGTAACGTCAACTGGCACATAATAGGAACAGCCTTAGAATGTGACCAGAATGCCCAAAGCAAGAGAAACAGCAGCCATGATAAGCCTCCAATAAGCCTCCTATTGTAGGGGCCGATAAGCATAAGAATTCCACCTTGGAAGGTCCATATAAGCATAACACCTTAGACAAATGATGCTCAAGCCTAAGCCAAGAACATCACAAATAGGTGTGCTGAGAGTCGACGAGTCTGACGTGCCCATCATAGCCGATGGCTTGGGACTGACGCACAATCTGCAGGGCCAGTAAACAGAGTTCATCCTGGAGATGCTGACTTCCATCCCTTCACTTTGTCTCTTAAGACTCTGTACATCCCATGTTCCTTCTCTTCTCTGTGTGTTGTGCTACCCCGTGTGGAAACCTCACTGGTTTATCTGAGAAGGTTCCACTCAATAAATCTGGCATTGAGGAAAGACACAAACGTGCCCAGTAAACGCATCCAAGGGTGTTACTTCCATAGCCGCTTTCCTTGCTTGAGACAATAAAGGAAAGAGAAAACTCCCACGCTTCACAAATTATCAGGGTAAGGATGTAGGAGCCAGGATTGTTTAACTTATTAAGGGTTGACTAGAGAAACTAGCCATTATTTAAAACATTTTAATTATCTAATTTGGCAGTTAGTGGAGAAGAAATGTTTCAAGTTGGAGGCTTCTTTATGGACCAAATAAGAATTTGTGTTGCTACTTAACTAGAGCAAACTCGAGGGCCCTCAAGTTAACTTCTCCATAGTTCTCTTTCAAGTATATTCTCATTTGACCTTGGATTGCCTCATCCAAGAACCTTAATCCTTTCAATTGCATAAAATCTCATCAGTCTCATACTGATAAAACCCCAACCTATAATAAGCAAAAGTGAGATGCACTATAAGAAAGCAAATATGTACCAAGCATTTGTGCAAGGAAAGATATTAAGAGTTACTTTATCTAAATTAAACCTCATAATTACCTAATACTAATCCAATTTTAGAGATGAGGCAACAGAGTCTCCAGGTTCACTAAGGTACAGGTCACAAAGTTAGAAAGTCACTGACAACTGTAGACAATACTGCCTCCTTGTGGCAAATATTTAGGTCTAGGGCACAAACACCTAAAATAAAGTTTTTTGGTTATGGATTCTACTAAGGAGCAGGGATACAATAACTAGGAGATAAAACCACTATGTCCAAATTCACTAAGAAAAAAAGAATCTCCTTAATTTATAGTTTGCCAAAAACCTCTGCCTTTTCCTCAACCTGCCATAAAATGTTGTAATTCTTTTGAAGCCGTCATAAGAAACCTCCCCAAAGTGTATCTATATGAAAAAATTTAAGTAGTATTTGCTACTTTTGCATTTAGATAAAGAACGAACAAAAACTCATAAAATCTGACAAACATCAGGATGGGTCAAAAATTACTATGGCTAAAAACCAGAAAATGGTTCTATCACTAATTAAGGAGTTAAGATTCCCAAGATGAGCTTAAATTTCCTCTTCCATAAAATAAGATGATCTCCATGGTCTCTGAAGTGTATGTCAGCCTTACCGTTCTACGATAAATTATAGAAAATAGTCTAAATTGAATGATCTAAATTGAATGAAGTAAAACATTCCTTAAGACCTGTAGTGTATAGTTAAAACACTAAAAATAGCTGATTAACCCTTATTAGTTTTTAGTTTCTGAGTTCGTTATGTTTAAATATGCACGCTTGGGGCTTAATGTAGCATACACGACCATCATAGCTAAGATCGAAATGCAGTTACAATAATTAAAACTATAGTGCTGGACACAAAGTCACCCGCAACACATATATAAGGTGAAGGCAAAATAAGACAGGAATCGGCAGCACATCTCATACTCTCAACAATTAGGCTTCAAACCCGAAGTAAAGTCTGTAGTACCCCATTTTCGAAACAGTAACATTCTTATGATATGACCTATCAACATTCAGGCTCTCTCTTAGACCTCAGGAAACAACCACAAACGTCGATTTATCGTAAATGTAGAATTAGGTGGCACAGCTGTCTCTAAAAATGAACGGAACGGTCTGTGAAGGAGACAACACAAAACGCCAAATGAGAAATGCCTGGTAAAAAGCATACTGTGTCCCACATGGAGGCATATTGTGTTCTCGAAAGACAATGAGGGCGGCGGTGCCAAGGTGCCCGGAGGGGCCATCCCGGTCCCTAGACTGAGCGGCGCGCCTGGAGGCTCAAAGTCACCTTCGCCAAAGCTCTGGAGGCCGGCGGCGGACACTCCCAGTCAGGCGGCCGCAAGGGTCAGCACCTGGGTATGGTCACAGCCCAGGGACCGAAGGAGTCGGGTGGACGCGGGAGGTGCGCTGCGCTCCCTCCTTGGAGCCCACAGCAGGTCCACACCTGACCGGTCCGCGAAGCCCACACCAGGAAGTCATGGGGAAGGAGGCCCCGGGGGCGCCTCCTCGAGTCCTCCACACTTCGAGGCGGCCGGGGGAACGGCCCACGGTCACTGGGTTCGGTCGTTTGCTGTTAGGGCAGCCGCTAGGCCGCGGGGCGAGCCTACACTCGCGTGGCGGCGGGGGACCAGGTCACCGCAAGGACACGCGGGTGCGGGCGGTGGCAAGCAGGGGGCTTACCGGCGGCGGGGCCGGGGGCCAAGGCAGGGTGCAGGAGGCCTCGAGGGCTGGCCCGGGCGGCCGCGGCCGCTGCTACGGCGCAGTGGCGAAGAGTGGCGCCTAGCATGACGGCGATGGCGGCGCGCAGGCTGAAGCTGAAGAGAAGCCGGCTGTGAGATCACTGGCCGCTCGGAGGTTTGCGGGGGGCCGGACCCACGCACCGACGCACAGTGGGCGGAGCATGAGGTCCCGCCCACTGCGTCCCTCGCGCTCTGGCGGAAGAAGCACCGCCCGGCTCCGGCCGGGCTACGGCGGCCCGTTGAGGACAAACTGTCTCGTCGCTGCTGTCTTCTCCGTGAGATCTCTGCTTCCGTGGACGGCAGCGGCCATCAGGAAGCAAAGATGCAAGAAGCGGAGGAGCGAGCCGCGGACGGTATCGTGGTTCAAGTCCGGCTCCGGAAGCAACTCCATCACCTCAAAATGGGAATGATAACAATAATGACAAATTATAATAAAAATGCTTTATTTACTTACGCCCCGGTTTGAGCCTAAAATAAGAGAACGAACTGCTTACATATAAGGGATCTTATTAGTAACTTCTTACATCACAAACTCTCAAGCATTAAAAATGAGTATAGCCACTTCATTTTACAGATAAGGAAACAGGCTCAGAAATTAGGTTGTTTGCCGGGAATTAGGCTCTTTTCAACAAATCTCCAATTTTGAGAATTCCAGATATTTCTGGCCAAACTAACTGCCCCTAATATTAAGTTCTAAGACTTTTAACATCTAATCTGGCCTAGCCCTACATCCTGACTTTGAGCTCCTGGGCAGTGGAGCCACTTCCCCCAGGTCTGAATTATCCCACAGCTACTCAGAATTAATGAGATGGTCTCTTTTGTCTTGGTTTCCCTCATTCTCTATCCCTGGACTCACTGAGGAAAGAAAAGATAGACATTCAGGGTCCTCTTCCTCACTCCAGGCCCTCTCTTCTGGGCATCAGCAGCGTTTGCCGTTTTCCTTCCCTAGCAGTGTAGCTTTAGGGGGTATGAACCTGGCTGGGAGAAGGATAAAAAAGTGTTTTTCAAAGCAGCTGCCTTCGCCTCCCACCAACCAAACCAAAGGACACCTGGGAAAGCTTGGACCTCTTTGCATTTTCATTAATATTCATCAAATCCCCAAGAGCTGGAAGCTCAGAATGAGGTTAGGGCCCCCACAACTGGAAAAGCACTGGTCACTCTCCTGTCAGTCTCTCCACTTTGCCTATAGTGCCTTAGATTGGCTACCAGAGTGTGGTTGTTTAATACAATTATGACTATAATTTATGATGTGTCATTGCATGCTCAAACTCTTTATTATCCCACTTAAGCCTCATAACAACCTTAGAAGTATTTGACCCTGTTTTGTGGATGAAGGAATAGACTCCTGTGTTAATTTCCTGTTGCTGCATAACAATTTACCACAAACTTTTAAAAAATTTAAGCAGCTTAAAACAATACCCATTTCTATTTCTCAGTTTCTGTAGGTCAGAATTCTAGGCTGTTTCTCTACTCAGGGTCTCACAAGACTGAAATCAAGATGTCAGCCAGGTCTGTGGTCTTATCTGGAGCTCGGAGTTTTCTTCTATGCTTGTTCAGGTTGTTGGCAGAGTTCAGTCCTTACAGGTGTAGGACTGAGTCCCAATTTTTTCTTGCTACCTGTTAGCCAAGGAGCATTCTCAGATACTAGAGGCCATCTTCAGGGCCTTACCACATGGTGCTCTCCATATGCCCTCTCACAATACCACAGCTTAGTTCTTCAAGCCAGTAGGAGACACTTCACCCTCTTTTAAAGATGTCATCTGATTAGGTCAAGCACATTCCAGGCAACATCTCTTTTGATTAACTCAAAAGTAAAGGGATTAGTAGCCAAATCTTGCAAATGCTATCCCAACAAATTTACGGATTCTGCTACGATTATACAAGGCATGTACACCAGGGGGCATGAATCTTGGAGTCCATCTGTGAATTCAGTCTACCACACCGCTAGTGCAGGGGAGCTGCTTGTTCCCAAGTTTGCCTTCAGTTGTGCCTCCAGGCGCCAATCCATTCCGCTGTTTCCGGTGGGTGGTCTTTCCTGGATGAGTTTAGACCAGACATTCTGGTTCTTTCCCAAGGCCATTAGGGTCTTTGTCTCTTCCTACTTTTTTTTTGTCCCTCTGGAGAAGCAGCTGCTGGACTTTCAATGCCTCAAGGATATCATCATCACCAGTTGATAAGCCTATCAGCTTCCTGCTGCAGCCAGAGCCTTCATCCTGGAAGAATTATAATGAGGCACTTCCTCTGATGTGTGAAGAGAGAACAGATAATGTTATTGAGGAGCTTATAAATATAAAGACACTGTTCCACCATTTGAATTTCTAGTAAAGGGAAGTGCACGTTCAATAGAAAAGCTCTATTTTTTTTTCTGGTGAGAATGAAGCCTATTAGGGGGAAAAAAAAAAGAATCCTGCCATTTCAGGGCTGAAAGGAAACGTTGAGGCCATTAGTCTGATTGAATTTAACATTGCTTCCATTTCCTCAGGTCCCTACTTGAGCACCTCCAGTGATGGGGATCACACTACTACTATGCTAGACTGCTTTGAAAATGAGGATAAACAAGACAAGGCATTGAGAGAATGGCATTCTAGCTGCTGTTGAATTATAGCTCTGTCATATGCCATTAAGCAAGTTATTTCAATTTCCTGAACCAGAATTTCCTCATCTATAAAATGGGAATAATAAATGGAACCAACCTAATAAGTTTTGAAAAGATTACATAAGATAATGCTTGTAAAACAATATGTCCTGGCTGGCACACAGTAAGGGCTCTATAAATGATAACCGTTAACTCTCTAGAAAAAGAATATTCCTGTTGTAAAATTATAGAAGTTCTTTTTCCAGAGCAGGGCAGGTTGTGAGATGGGGGATAAAGCATGGAGTTGGAGTGGACAAACAAACCACATGGATCACCAAGAATCAGGGAGAAGGGGTAGCACAGGAAGCAACCTTCGGAGGTGATCCCGTAGGCTGTCATCCAATGGTGGTAGGAGGGTTCTAATGATCTTTCTTTCTTTCTTCCTTTCTTTCTTCTATTCTTTTGTCCTTCCTTTTATGTAATTTCTTAAATTATTATTTTTATGATCAGAAAATCACTAAAAGATGTAATTTTTATTGAGATTAACTCACACACCATTAAAGTCACCCTTTTGAAGTATTCAACTCAGTGGTTTTTAGTACATTCACTATATTGTATAACTATTATCACTGTCTAATTCCAGAACATTTTCATCACCCAAAAAAGAAACCCCATAGCCAACAGTATCCAACAACCCAATCAGCCCTAGGCAACCGCCAATCTACTTTCTGTCTCTGTGGATTTGCTTACTCCAGATATTTCATATAAATAGAATCATACAACGTATGATTCTTTTTTGTCTAGTATCTTTCAGTAAGCATAATGTTTTCAAGGTTCATACATGTTGTAACATGAATCAATACTTCATCCTTTTAATGGCAGAATTATACTCTATTATATGGATATACCACATTTTGTTTAAGCATTCATCAGTTTATGGACATTTGTGTTGTTTCCACTTTTTGGCTATTATGAGTGATGTTGCTATGAACATGCAAGTACCTGTTTTGTGTGGACATATGTCTTAAATTCTTTTGGGTATTTATCTAGGAGTATCATATGGGTCAAATGGTAACTATGTTTAACTTTTGAGGAACTGCCTGCACCACTTAATATTCCCTCCAGCAATATATGCAGATTCTAATTTTTGCACATCCTTATAATTTTTTTTTTTTTTTTAACAAAGAAAGCTGAGTCTTTGTAGCTGTCTGAGCTGGGGATAGGGGAATCTTTGGCCACTGTCCATGGAGCTAGACAGTTAAGGACTTTGTGTAGCATCGGAATAGTTCAGAAATCTGGGTCAGCCAGTCGATTCATTCAGTCACCACCTCTCTGTGGGTTTCCTGTGTACTAGGAGCTGGGTAGAGAGTAAGACAGGCAGGATCCATTCAATCATGGGCTTCTGGTTCAGTGGGGAAACTGACAACCAGAGGATCACAATAATGAAGGCACAATTACACAATAAGATCTGTGCTCTGAGAAGAAACCTGGTGTCACCAAGGAGCCCCTCTGTGGCCACATTTCCTTCCTTCCTCCTTCCCTCCCTCCCTTTCTTCAATTACATCTCTCCCTGGGAAACCTGGAGGTGTTTCAACATCTCAGTGAAATTGAGGGGACTATAGCATCCCTAAGTGGCCAATGTGGACATAGTAATAACCCAAACTGCAGAACTAATGGGGCTGGGAGATGGAGAAAGGGGATAGGGTGTGTGTGTGTGGTGGGGGCGGGTGGGAGTGTCTGACCCTAGTCTTCTCCCTACTGTGCAGTGAACATGCCTGGCAGATTTATTGGTCAATGGAAAACTCTGAAGGCTTTTACCAATTTAGAGCTGTGGACATTCCCCACCCCTCCCCCCAAAAAAATCTCTCTTGCACGTCCCCTGGGATGCCAGGATAGAAGGTCAAGTCCTAGCCAGGCTAGGGCTAATGCCACAAGGAAAAACTCTCCTCTGTCCTGGCTGTAATGGAAGTGAAATCCTATCAATTCTGTTCCCATCTCTGTTTTCAATACTACTGTACAATCTCTTACATTCCTGTAGCCTCTGAAATCCAGTCAGGTCCCTTTCAATCCACCTGTCACCCACACAAGTGTCAGAGGGATCCTTCTTAAACACCAAGCAGACCAGGGCACTCCTTGGCTTCCATTGGCCCCCTACTTTCTTGTGGCTTCCCTGTGGCCTTGCTCCGACCCGGTATTCCAGTCGCACCTGCCTCTTACCATGTAACCTTAAGATGCTTATATCCTTCAGACACTTGAGGCTGCCTCAACACCAAATGCAGCATCATCCCTCTGTGCTCTGCCTGGAATTTCCTGCCCAGACCTTCTGGTCCTTGGGGAACCAGCTCTATCAACACCTTTGGGTGAATTAGGTGCCCTTTCTCAGAGCTCCTGCCTTCTCCCACTACCATGGCATTGTGCTGTAACTTTTTTTTCTTTCCCACTTGATAGAGACTTCCTTGAGGTAGAAATAACGTCTGATTATTCTGTGATTCTTACTCCCTTCCCTCCTCGTACCTGGATTGGAACCTGGCACAACAACAATGAAGTCCCTCAAGGCCTGGCTGGAGGTCCACTGTCCATCTGACAACAGGCTCTGGACTTGGATTATACACATTTATGTTCCCAAATGGTTTTTGATTGTGTGATCTGACAGTTTTGTGGGTGTGAGTCTTCACCATCACCTCTAGCCTACAAATACCCCAAGGCAGGGTTCAAGGAGCTCCTGGATAGCAGCTGCTACTGGAAAGATGAGGTCACAGGGGAGCTTCCCACTCCCTCCCATTCTGCACTAGTTGGCTCCCAAAGTGGGCTGTCTCTGAGCTGCTCCCCTAGCAACTTCTCCTCCCCCCTTATTCCAGCACTTCTCAAGGTCCCACCTCAGGCTTGGGGGAGATATACAGGGATATGAGTCACCTTCCTTTGGAGTCTGTTCCTGGGTCAGGAGGGTTAGAGGATTAGCAAAGCAGGGGTGGGGTGCTCATGGGTGCTAGGTTCCACTGGCATCCTTTCAAAAGCCTGGGAACTGAACCTGCTAGGGTGGAGTGGCGGCAGAGAAGAAAGCATTTCATAACCTGCTTTCCAGTATGGGAGGCAGAAACAGCCCTCTATGGGGGCAGGTTAACACTCTGAAAGTGGAGTAACATGTCCCTCTTCTTCCACACACTAGGAAGTTTCCAGGCTGGAAGGGGACTTACCTGACCCAAGCCATCAACAAAGAAAGCCTCTGCTTGCAAAGTCCTGTTGACTGGCAATCAGGATTTTAGACACTAGTGGTCTTGGAGAGTTGGACCTTTTCCAGAACCAAGCTCAGTCTCCCTTAAGCTTCTACCACGCAGAACCTCTTTCAAGTTTTATCATTTATTTTTAGTGAGGAAGCCCAGGACCAACCCAGGGGTCACTGGTTGTTAGGATAATTTACATTTTTTTCACCCTTATTGGGCCACCCCTGAGAGGGTCAACAACCACACCCAACCCCCTTAGTCCTCCCCAGGGACTCATCGAAAACAACAAATCTGACAGTTTTGTGGGTGTGAGCCTTCACCACTGGGAGTCTTGCACTGGGGAGGGCAACCAGTGCTGGAGTCTGGATGGCATGGCTAACTGATCCAAAGCTCAAGTAGAGATATGAAGCGAGGGCAACTCCCTGAAGAGCCCCTCCTGTCAGCTGCAGAATCCCACCTCTTGTCACCAGCAGGACTTATTCAGGGTTCTGCCAGCAAAATGACTTTTATTCCTCCCCATCTCCTCCTTCCTAGGGTGCTGTTGAGTTACGTGGAGTGAGGTGTGCTTCTGAGATCCTGGGGCTATGTGTCCCCCACTTTTACTTGCTAGAGTTCTTCCAGCACACAGTACTACCCCCTCCCCCAGATGACATGGAGTTGGGCAGAGGCTTATGAGGCTGTTATCTTTCAGTAGACAGCTGTGCAGGGCTGGAGGCACAGCTTATCAGGAAGCCTGCAGTGATTCACAGCCCAAGTCCCAGCTTCTCTGCTGAATAGTAATTTCCAGCAGTGGATTAGTGCTCAGTCTCTCTCCTCCCCCTCTCCCAAGGGTGTGCTGTCCTTTCTCAGAGAGCGAGCAGTGAAGTGGAGATTCTACCCATGGAGATCAGGGGACTTTGTGCCAGCCTTCCAGCTAAGGCCCAGTCTATTGGCAGGAGGCTGCAGGTTTAGGGACCCCAGCAGGGTCTGCCACCCTTGGCAGTGACCCCCCCAAGGGAGTTTATCAATGCTCTCTTTCCTTCTCCTCGCAGAAAAGTAATGTGCTGCTCTCTCTCCCTTAGTGGTAATGCACAGGGGGAGACAGGCTGCCTTCCAGCCATAAGACCCTGATGCCAGAGACAGCCAAAGAGGGCTGGAGAGAGAGAGAAGCCAGGACCTAGGCAATGTGCCTCTTGCACCATTTTAAAGCGGTCCTGTCTCTGTGCCTGACTCTGAAGACTCCAAAGGCTAAGGAACCCAGGCTAGAGGGGACTGAGACACAAGGGGGCAGGCCAGAGCTGTCTTTGCACAGGCAAGTGGTTAGGAAAAAATCTGGGACAGAGCCATTTTTGTTTGTTTTATTGGAAGCAAGATTCCAGCTGTGGGGCTCAAGGGAGGAGGCATGGAGAGTTCTGTCCTGGGTCTCTCCCTCTGGGTTAGCATGGCAAACAGGGGATGTTAAAAGAGCTAGAGCCCATGGTGACGCACCTGCCACCATGATCTCAGGATGTTCCTTAAAAGTAGAGGAAGGAACACTAGAAAGGTAACTGTCCTGGGGTGAGGGGTAGAATGGGGCTCCCCACAACTCAGACGCCCCTGCCTCCAAGCAGTAGCTTTCTCACCCCATGCCCTCCGTGCCAATGATGGAGGTGATTCCAAGAGCATTCTCTCCTTGGCTTCCACACTCCTGTCCCCCTCATGAATGCTGGTTGCCTTTAAACACTGGGGGTCCTGAGCAACGTTCAGGTTGCTCAGCATTCCCTCCCTGAAGAAGGTCCCAGTATGGCTCAGAAAGGCTGAAGATGGAATTCTGCGTCTTCAGGCAACGCAAGTGGAGGAGCAACCACCTCAGGAAGCTTCCCTGGGGTCCCTCTCTTGTGGCCGTGGGGTCCATGATGCCAGTCTGAGGAGCTGAGATCAGGCTGTGAGCTCCACAAGACCGAGGCTGAAGGGCTGGAGGTGCGTCTCAAGGTCGAGGCGCTGGGGTTAAGATCCAGCTACTCTCGGTGGCCCAGAGCCATGAGTTCTTAGGCCGTCCGCTCCTCTTCCGCACCACCTACCTCAGGTTGTGATCGCTTCGCAGAGCCTTCAGCAGCGGGTTTCCCTAGGCTCCTCTTGGACGTCGGCGCGGCTGGCTGGGACGAGGGGCCAGAATGGGGGCTCGGGGGCTGGTAGCCGGGTTGGCGCGGATCCAGTGCATCCTTGGAAAGTAGGATGGCGAGACTGGGGACGTTCTTAAGTACACTGAGACTGGCGGCCGGCTCGCTAGATTTCTGCCCGGGAGAGGGCCCTGGCGGGAGGCTCTGCCACACCTCGCGCACGCTCCGGTAGCGCAGCCGCGTGACCTGGTGCAGGGCAGCCAGGCGGCGCTTGAGAATCTCGGCGCACGTGACGGTCTTGGTGGTGGCCCGACCGCAACCGCTGAAGACGATGGCGCGCGTGGCTGGCTGCGCCATGCTGGCGGTGGCGAAGGCCAGCAGGTTCCGGATCTTGCTGCCCTCCTTGACTCGCATGTGTACCGCGCCCGGCGCCAGGTCCGCAAAAGGGCCGGAGCCGGGGCCGCCCCCCTCGGCCCCGCCCCCACACGGCGCCTCTTCAGAGCGCACCTTACGGAAGTTCTCCATGCGCCGTCGTTGTCCGGCCGGTGGGGAAGCGGGCTTCGCCATGGGGCCGCTTCAACCTCGGGGCTGCATGGCCGCTGGCCGCGCCCAGCAAGGGCCAGCAGGGGTAAGGGTGCGGGAGCGGCGCGGACGCTGGCGGGCGGACTGGGACGGCGCGATCGTCGTCGCCCACTTCTGTACAGTGGGCGCTGCTCTACTACGCGCTCTCAGCGCCGGGTGCTCCACGCCTTTAGCCTAGGCCCGGCCCGGGAGGCTGGGAGCCCCGCCCCTATCGCCAGGCCCCGCCCCACCCTCATTTGCCTCTCTGATCCAGTCGGATCCTCTGCTATAGGGGCGTGGGATCCGCGCGCGTTGTGGCGCGCACAGGCAGAGCCAGGGGGTGACTTGGTAGGCGAAATTCCCCTATAATCGCCATCAGTCCTCCGCGAGCCAACCCTTATGAACTGACAACCTGAATAAAAACCAAAATTGCTGTGCAAATGCCACTTCAAGCCGGTCCCGGAGCCCTTCCGCGTTCTAACTGAAGGCCGCCTCTTCTCCCCTCCCAAGGAAAGATTTACAAGCGGTCTGCGGGGCTTCTTTCCCCTACTCCTCTAGGGACCTCCCCCGAACTCCATCCCTTCAGCTCCTGAGCCAATATTCTTGCCTCAAGGACGGCCTGCGCATGGTCAGCAAGTGCGGGCGGCTTTGGTTCCGGACCCCACTCCGCGCCTGCCCTCGGATGACTATGTCGCGGCGTGGTTCTCTCAGGGCAGCCGGACACTGAGGTCTCAGCCTCGCGGCTCTTGACCAGACTGGAGGTTGCCGGACCCTCGGACACCCCTGGGAGTGGGGAGTGAGGCTCTGGGCCAGGCTGTTCCCTAGGATGAATGGGAAGAGAACAAGGAGATACCCCGTCTCAAGAAGAGTTAAACTCCCTCCACGTCTTCCTGAAAGTCCACTATAAGAGCTACACGCCTTAGGGTGAGCCAGGCATGCTTTCGGCTGACATGGATCCCCTTTCTTCCAGATAGAATTCGTTGTCGGTCTGCCTTGGCCCCTCCGCCCCGCCCCCGAGACCTCTGAGGTCCTTTTTTCAAAAAGGAGACTACGCGAAGACTAAACTTTTAAGAGAGAAAAGGGAGGAATGTGGGAAGTTGAAGCTTTGGTGTCATTATGAAGCTACTGGGTGCCCCTTTCCAGGAGCTCCGCAGGGACGAGAGAGTAGCCCCGGATCTCTTGCCAGAAGAGATGAACAATCAAGATAGAGGCATGGTTAGGGGTTGAAGGACTGCTGAAGGGAGGAAGGGAGTTGGAGGAGGAGCTAGACCCTTCCTAGAACTGCCCCAGCGCCTCGCCCTTCATCCTTTCCCTCCCCATCTCGCACTGCCTCGCCCTTCATCCTTTCACTCCCCATCTCGCACTGCACAATCAGAACTGAGGGAGTGCCGTGACTACGACGAAGCATGGCGGGGAAGTGCACAGAGAGATGTAGCGGGCAGGCAACCGTGAAAGTGCTGGGGTCAAGACAGTGCCAGGAGGAGCTCGGCCCCAGTCTTCAGAGGGGACTGTTGGAGTCCTCTCCCTCCTCACGGCTGCTTTAGCCTCCTCGGCATCCTTTAACTCCTAGCTCTCCGGCCCCGCTGTTCAGAATCCGGGGCTTACCCCATTACCGCCCCTTGGGAGTGGCTGGAGCAGGTGGACCTTTGCGCCCCAACGTATGAGTGACCGACCTCCTCTCCAATCTTCTGCTCGTACGCTGAGATCTGGCGACCTCCGGTTGCGTCCGCACCTGGACTTCAGCCTGGCGCCAGCTCCTGCGAACCCCATGAGGAACAGCCAGAGGAGCTGGAGGCACAGCAGCCTTGAGAAGATATAAAGACTGTCTGCAGCGTGTGGCGGGGTGCGAGGAACCCCTCAGGCTCTGTAAGGCCAGGGCAGTTGTGAGACTTAAAGGGCGGCAGTTTTTGGTTAGGCCTGAGAAAAAGTCCCCGAACAACTGGAAGCTACGTTAGAACTGTCTAGTTATGGAAGAAGCGAGCTCTCCATCCACGGGGTATGCAAGCCTAAGCGAAAGTTCACTTTCAGGGGTGGAGAGGGATGCAGGCAGGGGTCTGCAAATAGGAGGAAGCGGCTTGGGAGCTCGAGTTTTGCGTAGGGCGAGGATGGGGCACCCTCCTGGGCTGCCCGTTGAAGGCACCGCCCCCACTCTCCCCAGACGCCAGAGGTGCAAGACTTTCATTCACAAGAGTCGGAGGAGCGAGAGCGCGGAAAGCCCGCATCTCCTCCGGCTGGTCCCCTCCCTTCCCCGCTCGCTCTGCAGTACTTAAAATGTAAATGCACATGGTGATTAGCCGCCGGGTCCCTAATTACCGCTGAAGCCATTCATTACCCTGTCAGAGCGCATCGTAGCCCGCAGGCTGTACGCTCCCGCCGGGCGGCGGAGTAGCAGGGCTAGGGAGGGAGGTCAAGGCGAGGGAAGGGGTTAGCGGGGGCAGGACGGAAGAATCCGCCGGTGGCTTGAACTGTAAGTGTAATAAGGTCCGCGGGGCGGGAGAGGGGCCATAGGAAGCGGCGGGGGCGCGACGAGAGGAGAAATGCAGGGAACAGCCAGTAATGGGGGAGTCGTAGAGGTAGCAAAGATTTAGGGGGGAAGGGGGAGCCGTGAGGGAGGAAACAGGTGAGGAGCGGGGAGAAGGAGGAATACGCGAGGAGGAACCCCGGGGAAGGGGCGGTCACGGTTGGAAGGGCAGTGGAGGACTCAACTCTGAAAAGGTGGGTCTATAAATTTGAACATCTGTGGCGCATACCCTGAGACGATTAGAGACGTGGGCTTTCTGTTGAAAGAGTTTGATGCTAGCTACATACACAGTGGGACCATAGGTATTTTAAAAGGGGGAATCTATTTCCGTGTATGCATGTTTATAAATGTAAATGTATTTTTTAAATGTCTGCAACAAAACAGCATACTATTCTGTTATCTTTGAGGCGGCATCCAGTTTTTGTGGGCCTCTTTAAGAAAAGAATTGCTAAATTACTAAATATGAATATGAAATTCAGCACAGAGCCTTGGAACTGCCCATGTCAGTGAGATACTGGCCTTGAAGCCTGTGCTTCATTAGCTTCTTTTGCCTCTGTGTGACCTTGAGCATTCACTTAACCCCTATGCCTTGGTTTTTTCTCAGCTGTAAAATAGAGCTAACATAGGAACCTTCCTCATAAAGTGATTGTGAAACCCATAACATTAGAACCTTGGCTGGTAAGTTCTCAGGAAATGTTGGCTAAAATTTTTCCTATATTATTTGTAATTAGAGAATTTTTTTAAAATTTTAGAGATGAGGGGGAAATAAATGTGGTGAAAAGGAAAGGAAATGGGTAAAGCCTTGGAGATTTCAGTTTTCTTAATGTATTAGGGACTAACGAGTAGCAAATTAGACTCCTTTCACCTTAAGAGAAGGTGGTTGGGTGGCTAGGATGGAGCACAAGCCTGGCCAATGCATCACCAGGCCCTGCTCTGCATTGGCCAGATTTGTGCCCTTTCTAGTAGTACAACCTGCATGTTGTGGACAAGTCTCCTCTCATCCCAAGACTGGGAGAAAATCCCTGGCACAAGGTAAGTCTCCTCCTCCTCTATCTCCAATGGCAAGAGGAGGATTGTTCATTTACACGCAGGCCCAGGGAGAAACTAGAGACAAAATCTACCTCCCTAAGCAGACGGCAGGGAAAAGACCCAAAAGAGAGGCTGGCCACTTCAGTTGGTAATTAGTGGAGTTTATTAACGGAAATTTATATCAGGTATGTCTTGGGCGATTGCCAGAGAAATGAATCCCCAAGCAGCTTGGCAGGTACCAAAGAATTATATATGGTTAAGGGAGGAATAGTCACGGGTACCATTATGTGAATGCTACCAGATACGGAATTTACTTTCCATAGTTGACCAGGTCAGGGCCACAACCTGTTCTAGGAACCAGCACATAACAGGAAGCAGGGGAGAGGTGCTGATTCATGTCAGAATGAACATCAGTTACCATTAGACAGTCTCTAAGAGGGCTTTGCATAAAGCAACCTTCATCTGGTCCGGGTCCAGCATGAGGGACAGAAAACGGTCACGTCATGAAAGTCTCTCAAGGATGAGGAGCTCCAAAAGCCTCTGGTCCTAGTCCCAGCCTCTCCCAGTAGGGGCTTGGGAGCATGCAGAGGAGTCAGGAACTGGGTACTCAGATTTATCAGGCACTCAACAAATGCCCAGCATTGGGCCAAGTACTCTAACAGATCTAGTCCCTCATTAATCTTCACAATCTTCCTTTCCATCCTTGTTTAACAAATGTGGAAATTGAGGCACAGAGAGGTTAAGTAACTTGTCCAATATACCACAGCTAGAAAGCAGCAATCACAGATATTTGAATGGCAGTGCTCTGATTCATTTTACTACCTCACCTGATTTTGAGCTGCCCAGCAAGGAGAGAGGGGGCTCCTACAGTAGGGAAAATGTTTGGTTATTTACTGCTGCATAAATATGACTCCAAGACTCAACAGCTTAAAACAAAAAATGTTCATTATCTTATATAGTTTCTGAGGGCTAGAAATCCAAGAGCAGCTTATGGGGTGGTTCTAGGTCAAGACCTCTCTTGAGATTGCTGTGAAGGTGTTGGCTGGGCCTGAGGGCTCCACTCCCAAGCTTACTTAGATGTTGGTCAGAGGCCTTGGTTCATTACCACATGGATTTCTCTTTAGACATGCTCTTGACATAACAGCACGCTTCCCCAGAACAAATAAATAGTGAAGGAGGAAGGGAAGGAGGGAGGGGGAGAAAGAGAGAGAGAAAGAGAGAGAACGAAAACAAGCAAGAAGCCACAGTGCCTTTTATGGCACAGCCTCATCTAAGGGGAATTATGTTCCACTTCTTGAAGGGAACAGTATTAAAGAATTTTCAGACATTTTATTTGTTTGTTTGTTTGTTTGTTTGTTTTTAATTTGTTTCAAATTTACAACTGCTTTATTAGAATGTTGGTTAGAAGGGATTCATTGCACTCTTTGGAATATTAATCTTTTTTGCTGTTGAACATGCTGGGATCCTTTTTTTTTATTAAGTTTATTGGTGTAACATTGATTAATACAATTTTCAGGTATACATTATAATTTGACATCTATATATTCTATTGTGTGTTTACCATCCAAAGTCCAGTTTCCTTCAGCTACCATATATTTAATCCCCTTTACCCACTTCACCCTCTGCTACCCCCCTATATTTCACCCCCTTTACCCCATCTATCTGTCCCCTCCTCCCCC